GGGGGGGGGGGGGGGGGGGGGGGGGGGGGGGGGGGGGGGGGGGGGGGGGGGGGGGGGGGGGGGGGGGGGGGGGGGGGGGGGGGGGGGGGGGGGGGGGCGAGAACAGAGTAACGTGCGGGGGGACATATCGAACAATGCGGGGAAACACTTCGATAACAATGCGGGGAGACACTGCAAACCAATGCGGGGGAACAATCAGATTACAACACGGCGAGACAAAGAGAACAACGCAGGGGGACATTAAGAACAGAAAAAACGCAGACATTGAGACCGATGGGGGGGGAGACGTTGGGGACGATGGAGCGGGGGCGTTGACAACTGTCGAGGGCCAAAACAGAATGAAAGGGTACCCGCGGACGGAGCGAAGAGGAGGAGAAACACCGGGGGGGTATTGAGAATGGTGGAGAAACACAAGCAAAAACGATGTTTTAAATACCAGCATGCCTGTTACGTATCTTTCTCCGCTCATGATAACACCAATTATCATAAAACGCAAATCGAAGCAAGGAATACAGGTTGTAAGTCCCCTATAGACAATAAGGGAATCTCGCGATCCAAAAATAACTGTGGACGGGAGAAAGAAAACATGAAAAACAATTCGGAAGTGTCGAAACACAAATAAATCGCATTTCATGCTGTTCAGGTTTCCGGGAGGATACGTTAACTGACTGTCTTCGATTTGAAGCGAAGGCGGAAGATTCTCTCTCCGTCTCTCTCTCTCCCTCTCTCGCTCTTTCTGTCTATCTACCTATCTCTCCGCCTGTCTTTTTCTGTGTCTATCCATCTATCTATTTACCTATATCTCTCTCCCTCTCTGTCGCTCTCCCTCTCTCTCTTTGTCCATCAATACCTTTCGATCTATCTACCTCTCTCTCTCACCTCGCCAGGCTTCCCGGTGAGTAGGTTGGCCCTAAGCATGACCCTGCCCAGCCCTGTGACGGAATCGTACTCCCTCAACGTGGGCCTCAGGGATCCGAGCGACATAATGTACATGGCGCGGTCCTGCGGACGGTGGAGCTTGACCATGTTGATGCTATTCAACAAACAGAGACAGGCAACGCAAGCACACGGAGATATGCAAGGTTGGTTCAACTACACAGAGTGTGGAAAGGGGGGGGGGCACTCATGTTTTGCATGCCTTAGTTGTTAGACCGTGCCATCGTAGTTGTTAGACCATTGGGCAGGCATCCTCGAGAGGGGGGAGGGGGGCAACCCGTTCGTGCGTGAAGAGGACGGGAACACCGAACAACGAGCAGACAGAACACCACACGACAATAGTATCAAGAGCAAGTACAGAAAAGAGGGCCCAAAGTCAAGCGAGCAAAAAAAAAAGCAGGTGGAACTGACACGCCTTGTACTCCCCTCCTAGAGAGGGCTTCCACCGCCAAACCGCGTTGAAAACACAGCGCCTAGACCCCAGATAACGGGTCACCCCCCCCAACACGATTATCTGAATTCATATTGCGGCACCCCTATCGGTCACCTGACTCTGACGGCAAGACCCTCTCGCGTGCGAGATGACGACGAAACAACTCCGAGAAACCCGTTCGGACTCTGTTGATGTTCCGTTCCACAAATCGTTCCAGGTTTCGAAGAGTCGTCGGGTCGTATCCCGGGTTTCCCGTAGTCATTCCGTGCGCGTGCGGGAGGCAGGAACAGCGTTCGTTGTGGGGCAAGAAGAGACGCAACGGCAGCGAGCAAACAAGCAAGCGTCAGAAAGGGCAGCAGCGGCAAAGGGAAAACGGCAAGCAACAGCTTGGGCCCAAAACGGGAGGACACGTGCGTGGCAGGGCCACCACAGAAGCGAGACATCCAGACACCTCTACACCCTTGGTGACTAGCGCCGGCGGCGGCCTCATTACGTAACCCGCCTCTCTCTGGCTGAGTCAAGGAGTTGCTTTCTGAGCTACATCAACAAAGAAGAGATAGCCAACAAGAGTAGAGTTGATGACAGCAGCGGCAACAACAGCGCACCCGGGCACCCTTTCCGCCGATGGCCTTCTTCACCGCATCCGGCTCCACCATGAACATCACGAGCTCGTGCTCGATGAAATTCTGAAAACAGAGACGAAAGTACGGGAAAATACACTTGGTTGACGGAACCTTGCATAAGTCGACCGAATAGCATTGTTGAACCTCGGCTGTACGCCACACAAAAAAGGCGTGTAGAGTCAGATTTCACCAAAAAAAAAGCATGGCCATGTAGCGAGAAAGACAAAAAAACGATGAGTGGTGGCGGGGAACCGGCGATGATTTGCAAGAACTTGCCTGCCTGACTTTTGGGTGTATATCGTTTGGCTCGATCGGGTACTAATCTTGTTGGGATTTCATTTTACCCCGGCCTTCCCCCCTTCCGTGTTGTGTTTGCCATCGGGGTTTGGGTTTTCGTCGCTTGGCAACGACGTTGTAAAACAAGCCGCCCCCCGGTGTTTACCATCGGGGTTGGGTTTTCGTCGCTTGGCAACGACGTTGTAAAACAAGCCGCCCCCCCCCAGTGTTTGCCATCGGGATTGGGTTTCGTCGCTTGGCAAAGACGTTGTAAAACAAGCCAATTCACTTCGTGAACTCGGCAACCAGGTTACCGTTTTTTTTTTT